ATTTAAGACAACACACCAAGTTTTACTTCCCAGGATTGCATTGTTGTATTAGAGATTTAGTGAACATATCTATATCAAGTTGACAGTGTAAAACTGATGAACCTTCAGCAGACTTAACTCCTGATCTAAACAAGTTAGTTGTTAGTTGCATCTATTTCTTCTTCTTCAGTTAAGAATTCCCCACTGATCTCAGTGGGATTTAGGAGTTGCAACCACCTTTTTCTCAACTGGAAAGCATGATTTCTATACAGCAAGCTCTCCATAATACAACATATGAATACAATATGGTTGTGTGATATACTGTATTGCACACATGTTATTATTATATATATATAAAACAAGACTACTCCACCTGTGAGGCACAGAAATTCCAGTAAGCCCAAAGGATATTATTTTGCAAGCAGGTGGCATCATTTTGGCTAAGCCAAGAATGCAGGTGTTGGGATTAGCTGGATTTATCAAGTGTTTTCATTCATATATTTTAATACCAGAAGGGACTATTACATTACTGCTCAGTCTGGCTCTCTTCATAAAGGGGGCCACAGATTTGTACCCAGTAATTCTTATATCAGAACATCTAATTTACTTTTTACTGAACAAGTGCTCATGCTTGTGAACTGTGTTTATGTGGCTATATGTTGTGTGTATAAAAATCTGTGCATTCTCAACTAAAAACAGTGAATTTTGCTGTTAGAAATGTAATATTGCTTAGGTCTTTCCTTTATACTCCCTTTGGATTTAAATCTGTTTGAATATCTTACTAAATTAAACTACATAAAGACTTTTTAACATTTCAAATTGTTCCAATACTTCTCTGAACCAGTTAGTCTGAATGAAAATGCCATTCACAACCCATTCCAGAGTATTCATATTCAAGTATGTGGGTCTGTACCAGCGTGAATAGATTGTGAATTGAGCCCCCAAACAATTCATGTGTCTCACATGCTTACAAATGAAACACACAACAAAACACACCCCATTTGGCATTCAGCTGATACATCAATATGATTTACAACCAAATGCTATCCCTGTGGTTGTCATTATGGAACAAAACAGAAGCTTGTGCTGTGAAAGTCTCTATGGCATCCTGCACAAAGTAAGTGGTGCAGAACTGGACAGCTCAGCCTGCCTGTGCTGAAAAAGCAAAAAAATATCCCTTGCAACACCTCCTAGAAAGCATGGGTTAAACTGTTACTTAGAAGCCTTGCAGAATGTCCAGAGAACGGGTGATGGATAAAAGCAATGCTGGAGCCTATTTATTCTATCCCACTACCCCAACATACATGCATGTGCACGCACACAGTTTTTTGAAGGATGCTCCAGCACCACAAAATAATCTCTCCTGGATATATATGCTGCATTACCAAAGTCTGCAGTTCCTAAAACAAGGACACACTGATGCTGGGAGCCCACAAATCAGTCTTGAGTTCTGCAAAGCATGTGTAGTATCACATGGGATTCAGATCTTAGCATCCCAACATGTTTTTTGCTAGCACTAATTTGTTAGCACGTATTATTTGTTTGTTTCTATACTGTCCAATAGCCAAAATTATTTTATTTTGTATTTTATATATTACTTTATAGAAAGGAACTACATGGAGAAAAAATTGTTCACCTGGATTAATTTTTAACACACATGTAAATCAAATCACCATGCACGTAATGGAAAAAGCCTCTCTGGAATAGTAAAGCCTAGGTGAAGAAAAGAAGCAATAAATAGTGCACAGGGGAACTCTATGGAGGTGCAGGTGATTGGTTTAGCAGCCTTTTCCTGACTAGCACAGACCTGCCTTTCTTCTCCTTCAATATGCTACAATTAAAATGCTATAAATATATTAGCAGTGGTGAGGACATGATATAGTTACATTGACATTCACCTCAGTTTCCTTCTGTAGAGGATAGCTATTTTAGAAAGCTTGCAATGACAGAGGGAGGCTAAACTGAGGGTTGTGGTGCTCCTCATCCCTTATGCTGTGCAGAGAAGCTTTGGCTGGTTGGCAACCATCAATGCAATGCTTACACTTTAACCAGAGAGGTTCCAGAGACAAACTATCCTGCTCTGGTCCATGCCATCTGTCCAGGACACGGCTGGAGAAATGGCTGGAGAATATTGTTCTCTATTCAATAACAGGACAGCAATAACTATGGTTTTTTGTTTTGTTTTGTTGGTCCCAATACCTGTTGATACATCCAGCATCTACTGAAGCCATGTCTCCAAGTTTCCTGTTATACTCATTTTAAGAAATGCAGACTTGGAGGTAAAAAGGTAATTGTCTACTTTTATTCTACTTTCCCTGACCCACCTTTTAATTCTTTTGTTCAACATATTTTCTGATTTAGGGTTCTGGATCTTGAAAGCTTGCTCAAAATGTTGTGACATTTGGGTTGGCATTATGATATTGACTGAATTTCTCTTTATTAATCGTTAATCCTTAAGTTGGAAATTGAGAAGGAGCAGAGAGAAAGCAGATATTGGTTGGTCAGTGGTGATGAAAGGGCACTCTGTGTATGAGTAGAAACCCTTTCCTTAAGCATTACTTCATATATTTCTTGATACTGAAAATATGCTCCTGACCTGAGCCCTGCCCCGAATTAAGTCGTGACCGACCCTTCTCAAGACAGCCGATATATCCTCAGTTCATGCAGGCAGGCAGGTAGTTTGCTTCCTCCAAACAGCCTCCCTTCTCTCCTCGGAGCCCTGGCAACGGTACAGTGCCCGATCAGTTTTCTGCCGGCGGCGGCAATAGCTGCCGCCGCTTTCTTCAATGAGCCTCATTCTCCAGTCCCATCCTCTTATGTCCCATACCCTGTGCAATGTTTGCTCAGATATAACTCGCCTCTCGTGGTCATACCTGCGGCACACTAATGGCCTGGAGTTAAGCCGCAGCAAAATCTTGCCAACACACTCGCTCCAGGGATGAAGGAGGAGGGAGAGACTGACTGACTAGATCAGACATTATCTCTTAAAAAAGAATAATAAACTGGAGCAAAAGGGAAGGTCATTGCCTCGCCTGCAAGTAACCCAAGAACTGCTGCCACTCCTGCCCTGCTTGCTGGTCTCAAAGATAAAAAGACCCTTTATCTTATTATCCTTTATTTTAAAGGAGGAGACCCTTTCAGATAAAGTCTATTGCAGCCTTCAGGTTAAAATACGCATGGGTTGTTTGGCAGCTATGGTTTTTGGAGAAGAGGCGAGAGAGAGAGAGATGAAGCCGGCCCATCCCCCACCGCTCTGGCTCCTGGCTGCTCACATGCAAGTCACAGAGCCTCCTGGCAAGGAGGTGCTGGGCCCGCGCGAGCGGCCTCTTGAATGGACAAGACTCGGAGGAGCAGCCAGGGATCACTGGGACTACGAGGAGTTGCTAAGGCGATACCAGGGCAGGGGAGAGGAAAGGAGAGAGCATATCATAGCCAGATCAGTCACAGGTACCGGCTGGACGTCGCTTCCCCGCTATTCCCAGCTACAGGTTGTTGTGGTTGTCGGGGGTTGTGTATCACAGTTAGTAATCTCCTTACTCCAAAGCCTGATTTTTGGAAGGGTGCATGAGCCAAAACTAAAATAACGGGAAGGCTGGGTTTTTTTTTCACTTTTGGTTTTAGAGCAAACACAAAAGGGAAAGGAAAGAAAGTCTTGCAGTCTCATGTATGTTACTCAAAAGAAAGTTCCACTGAGCTTAGTGGGATTACTCATAAGTATACAGGCCTAGAAGTGCAGCCTGACACGAATAAAATGTTGCAGTTCTCTTTCTCTCCCTTCATTTCCCCCCCCCTTTCTCTCTTAGTGCAACTCGCCAGATCAGCTGCCACCTGGGTGGCGAAGGATAGGGGGTGGGGAAGAGGGCAAAACTGAAGCTATGTGTGAAACTGTGCTGCCCGCCTCCTCTGAGTCCTCCCCAACCTCTTAAGGGATCAGCTGTCATTTTTATTACTGAAAGCCCTGACTGCTTTTTAAAAACTGTTTACAGCAGATTCTCCTGCATACACACACTCCCATCTGAGTACAAAGAACATTTTACATCTGCCCTCTTAAAGAGAACTCTAAAGAACAAAAGCCCCTCTCCCCGCTTCTCTCCTCCCCCTCGCCCGCAAGAGTCGAGCTCTTTTGGTGGAGCTGATCCTAAAGTTAACATCCAGCAGCCCATTTCCAGACAGCAGCGCTAAATCTATTTGGATAAAACGCGTGTGACCCAGACACTTGGCATGGGGCCCAAATGCGTTGCAAAGGCAGTCCAAATAAAAACAAGCGTCTGGGACTGACTCTCTTTCGCCCCTCTTGTACAACAATGAAAGAAATTAGTAGAGACAAGAGACTGGACACACATTAGCAGGGAGCACGATTCCAGCTACTCCCTCACCCTCCAGACACACACCTTTGCCCCCCTTCCCCAAAATCCCTTTGAACAGACACACACCGATTCAATAGGCTCCGTAAGGGTTACGAGTCTAACAAATCCCTCAGCGTCTAGGAGTAAATCAAAGCTACACTCTTCCTTCTCTCCCATTAGCCTCTTAAGAGCTTAACGTCTCTCTCCTTTAGTCAAGCATCCAGGCTCTAGCTATCACATCAATGCGACCCTTTAAGTCCGTGCACAAAAATATGCACTTGTCTCCCCCATTTATATAGGCACACGGACGTGCCACCACCAAATAATGAGCGTATGATGTTAGCAACAAAGTCAATGAATTTCAAGAAGCAAATACACACACATACACACGGATATCGCATTATTTTGTCAATAGTTCTGCTTGCTTCTGCGACAAGAGGAAAGTTTTCACTGCTCAGGAGCACACTTAATAAATCAAGCTGCTTTGCCACAGTAAATCCTCGCACCCCCACTATCCCCCCTTAATCCCCAAAGCTCAAAGGTTTCTCTGTGAAATCATTCAAAAAGCCACTTCGCCTAGTGCAGTATAAACCACCCCCACTCCACATCTGAACGCCCCATTATGCGGGAGACAAGAAAATCATAAGGTAAAGAGTCCGTGAAGTCTTTCCTTACCGTTTTCATCTTCAATTTCTTTGCTACAAAGTGAGTTTCAAACAATAGAAATTGTACTGGCGGGTTCCCGTATTCCTCTCTCTGATTTCCCCCTCTTGGCAAGCCACGCCAGAGTTATATTCTAGAGGAGAATAAAATCCTCTAGCCTCTTCTAAAAAGGGGAAGCTTAGAAAATGGACTGACTAGGCAGGAAAAAGGATGCCATCAATTCATCCAGTCTATCTAGCACCCTGCATATTTTTGTCTTTTACAACCAAAAAGTGGGGGCGGGGGGGGGAGAAGAGAGAGAAGGGAAGGGGTAGAAAGGAAGCGGGGAGAAGGGAAAATACTTAATTTGGGGTTGGGGTAGTCTTCTTGGGTACCCCTTTCAGTGCAGAGCTATAATGTGAATACCATCAGAAAGAGAGAGGGGAGGAAAGGGGAAGAGGGAGCAGGAAAGACTGGAGAGAAAGTTTTGTTGAAGTAGCTCGAGATCTCTTCTCACTACCGGCCTCCAGCCAAGTTTAGAGCTGCAGCAGGAGCGGACTATTTTGGCCCGGGAGGTTGTGCAAACTGACGTCAGTCTGCAAATTGTGCCTCCGGCGCCCCTGGCGCTGCTGCGCATGTCGGGCGATCACGTGGAGGGGGAGGGGGACGTGGAGGTACAATCAGGGTAACGATCGAGGGGCGAAAGAAAATCCGTAGGGAGCACGGGGCGACGTGAGGTTCTTCTTCGCGCTTTGCATACGTTTCTGGGGCGGGGTGGGGGGGAATTAGAGGGGATACAGAACGGGAAAAGCCTCGCAACCTGACTCGTGCTTCTTTTCATCCTTTCTCGACCGATTGCCGTCTATAAGCTGCTCTATTGAATGGAGAGGACTTGGTCTCTCATAATCCAGTGTAACTGGGATAAACCTCTGCTCCCTGGGAACGTAAAGAAGCGCTGAAAACATGGCGAGATCTCCGCGGCTGCTTTTGGGAGTCCGCTTAAACGGAAAAGGGAGCGGAGAGGCAAGTCGGCGGTTCATTCCAATCCAGCGTCAAGACGAACTTGTGTTCTTACCTGCAGAATGAGAAATATTACATGGCAGTCACTTTACGAAGAGCAAGGTGGTAGTCCTTTGGTTCCAGACCTTACGTAGCTATAAACCCGAGTTGCCACCCCCACCCAACTTGGAGTTGGAGATAATCCTGCCTCTCTGTGGCAGTGCTTCACCGATAATAGATTTCTCTGCTCTTCACTGAACACTGGATGATTTGCTGTTGAATGTGTGAATTGATCATTGGCCACTACTCATGTTGGCTATATGCTGCTTCCAGGATCAGAAGTAATATGTTTCTGAATGCTGGAAACAAGAGCAGGACTGGACTAAAAACCAAAACACTGAGAGGCATAATATTATTTTAACAAAGGAAAAAGATACCTGTGCTCTGTTTATGGGCTTCCCAGAGACGCTTGTTGGCCAGGGATGCTGGACAAGATAGCTGGACACTGGGCCTCAACTTACAGGGCCCTTCCTATATTCTTACTGAAAAGCATGACGTGAGAGAAAAGCTTTGTCAGTGTTGTTCATGTAGCACCTAAAACAAATTGCATAAGCTTTCATGAACTTTGATCATTCATTCACATGGAGAGTTCAAACATGCCTCACACATTCAAAGCATATGATGCCCACCTCTGTCCATGTGTTGGCACACAAGAAGCAGCTCTGCACATGGATGCATGCACATGGAGCTCCCACCTGAGCAGACATCCTGGGAAAACCAGACTCCTCCCACCAGTCCCTGAGCAATATGCCACCTTATGCACCTCTTAATCCTCTCATCCCTTCTTGTGAAACAGGCTGGTAAAGTTGCTTTCGGACACATGTTTGTCTCATTCAATTTTAGGTTGAATGATGAAGGTCATCTGATGAAGTTGCAGTTTCTGCTAAAGCTTATGCCAGAATAAACTTGTTGGCATCTTAAATGCCACAAGACTTTTCCAATTTTAGATGTACCTATACCAAAAGGTGAAGCAACCTTCAGTGATTCTTAGTTTTTGTACATTTTTAGCATTCTGGCCCTAACTCATCTCCTGGTGCTGGCCTGCATGATAGGAGCTTTCAGAAGATCTATGAACAGATCTGATTGCTGTTCCTCCCCTCCCCTTTCCCTGCCCCACCTTCGCTTTGACCTGACCCTGTGAGAGAGGCACCCTTCCCCACCCAGTGTCAAGTACATTATTTCCAGATGGGGTTAAGCAACTGCTGTCCTGAACTGGTAGCTGGTATGATTGTAGGAGTTTGATTTGTCCCACCCACTACCTTCTCAAAAGTTCACTGCATGGAGAATAATAAAAGCTGCATAAGTTTGGGAAGACTGTGCACAGTGTGCAAATGTTCAGCCAGGGTACATCATTATAAAAAGTGATTGATTATTCATTCGTGCACCCTTCAGTCTGTCAATCAGCTCAAAAACAAGTAACTTTCGCTTGTGACTCAAACCTACTTGATAGAAGTGGTGGTAAGGGGGGGGAGAGGAGAAAGTGGGGAATAACGAGGCTTTTAGGAGATAGGAAGGTAAAACTGGCAACTTGAAACTCATTCCATACCACCTTTTTCAGTTGAGGAGGGAGTACATGGAGAAGTTGCTTTCTGGAGTTCTACCATTTATATCCCATTTCTGTTATTAAGTTATTTTCATTCTAAAGTGGAGACAATAGGTGTAATCCTGTTGAGTCCATGAATATGACTTGGTCTGGAGCAATGTATGATTCAGAATGGGAAGGTCCAAACTGCCTCCCCTCCCCGCCCCAGTTCTTTCCTATTCTGTTCATCTAGCAGAGGCAAAAGTCCATGACCTCAGTTAGACTCTGGCTTTATGCCTGCTGAAATGGAGACATATGGCCAGTTGTTGTCTCATCATGAAGAAGTACATTGGTTTTAGACAGAGCTGGTGGAACAAGAGTCTTAATGCAGAAATGCACCCAGCAGTTTTTGAAGCAACAGATCTCTGAAGAATGTATGGGATTAGTAGTTGGAGGCAAGCTTACATTTGTCAATGGATATTATATCAAAATGAACCTATCCAAATAATTCTGGATGCCTCTATAACAAACAACAACAACAACTGGGAATGGAACTCGTACTGTGAAAATCTAAGAGCCAAGAGAGAAGTATTTTATCACCGCCTGCCTTTATGGCTGGAATTGCCTATTCATAGAGCACCATCCTGTGGTCAGTTGGAAGTAATGAGAAACTGAAAGGATTCATTCATTTTGTGTCCTTGGATTGTTGCTGTCTGGTCTTGGCTACAGTTGGATGAAAATATCTTGGTTCTTCTGCCTGAGTTCACTCTGGGTCATGAGTCTTCACTGTAGCTCAGTGTAGGTACATTCCCACCCCTGCCAAAGTTTGTTTTTGTTTTATGCCTGCATGAGTTTGTGTTGTCTAACAATGCATAACCCAAAAATTTGTTTTGTTTTCCTTTGTTCATTGTCTACTATTCATGACACAATAACTGACAGCATATTTTGGCCAAAGATGTATTGTTTATTTGAATGGCATCCCATTACAAGTAGACTTTCAGGAAGACAAAGTAAGAAATAAAGCCAAATATGCTCAGTTTTTTCCAGACAAGAATCTGTTAGAGAGTGTGTAGGCGGGGGGGGGGGGGGGATGGAACAATGCCTTTTGATTAGTAGTGCTAGAAGCCAGGGCAGTGCTAGGTACAGAAAATATTTGGGGATCCAGCCCATAGGGAGAAAAATTGCACAGATATGCATATGCTAATTTGCAAATGCTCTACTCTGTGTGTTTGTGTATTTAAGGACACCCCATTTGATGGATGGACAACGAAGAAGAGGGCATTTGATTTTAAGAAAAAGTGTCAGGCAGGAAGATTCGGGGGAGGGCAGCAGGAAGATTGGAGATGTGGGCAAAAAGCCAGTTTATTCAGGGGGATCAGAAAAACCCCTGGGCTTAGCTGCAGTCCTCACAGCTGGCAGGATGGGGGTATGAATTTTCTTAGAAACAATATATCGTAATCACTATTGTAATGCAGCATATTTCAGAATGACTTAGTCTTGAATTAAGATGATTAATTTTACGAACAGCCTGCTTTTTGTCAAGGTGTAATGGTGTGCTGATATGGATCAACAGAGCTACCTGAATTGTTGGACACACTGCACCACTGTAGAAGAGTAACCATTTAGAAGGGTTCCCAAACTATCCTCATGAAAGCTAAAAACCTTATCTCACTTGCTGTTTGTCTGATATTATCCCCCCTCCAATTATATTTAGGGTAACCACTATGAGATATAACAGTAGCTTTATAACCTGCATTTAAGAATGACTTCAGCAAGATTGCACTGAACACTGCTATCAACAGATATGGAACTTAGACTAAATGGAATAACTTACACACCAGACTCCATGCATGGCATCCTTTTACTACATTTGTGAATCAGAACAAACACTTCTGCAACAGCACTCATTTTGGAATTGCTTAAATGTCGAACTGCAGCTTCCATTTAGAGTTTCATTTCTTTTTAGCACAGTTCTGCAGTTGTCTCAGTTCCATGACAGTGAGAAGTTTCTTGGGTGCAGCTCTCACTCAGGCTTGGTTACCTTTGGGAAATGGAAACACTGGAAATCTAGAGCTTTTTTCTACACAAAGCATTCATTATACATTCAGATTCCTTACTCAGGGTTGTTGCTGTTTAGACAACATTGTGGTCCTCTGGTTTCACTTCAGGCTTTTTTTTCTTTTCTTTCTTCATTTTTCAGAGAGCTTTCTCATTTTTTTTAGAATGGGGGAAATGGGCTTTTATTTTAGCACTGAGGTAATTAGTTTCTCATTGTGTACTTCCCTGGTAGCACAGCTTCACCTGGGGGTTACATAGCAGAAAAGGAAAAACTGCATAGCATTCAGAGTTCAGTATGTGCAATGAAACCAAAAGAGACACATATGAACAACCTTGTATAGAAAAGTTGATGAGGTGTTCTGTAATACTTAAATTTACCAATATGCATATATTGGTGCACATATTCACCAAATTTGACAGCGCCACATCAGATTTCCCTAAAAAGAAAAGCCTGTGCCTCTTTCTCAGTCCTGGTCAAAAACTGCAGCCTTTGTTTCTCACAGTAACACAGGGCAGAAATCACAACTAAGATTCCACTCATTTCAGAGGATCTATTTTAAGGATGGCTAAAGTGGAAAGAACTCTGCTTTTCAATGGTTTGGTTCAAACAATGAGTTGCTTAAATA